GCGTGGGGAGGCTCCGCGGGCGGACGCGGCGCGGGCGCCGCGGGAGCTCCCGGCGCGCGCGGCCGCCTTCCCTGTCGCGACAGGGCGTAGCCGGCGCGCGGGGACGGGACCGAGCCCCGCGCGTGGCAGGGCTTGGCTTTAGCGCGCTCGTGCTGCAGGAGCTCCCCGTGGGGAACCTCCCGTGCAGGGGGCGCGGATCGGACCCCTGGCTCCGTGTCTGTCGGGAGCCGCTTTGGCCGCGGAGCAGCGAGGGCTCGCGCCGCTGCGGGACGGGCATCGTGTCCCTCCTGCTGCCACCTGCAACAAGTGGCACGGCTCGGCGTGGCTTACGGCACGCGGGGGACACGAGCGCGTGGGGACGCTGGGCGCCCCGCGGATCTTGTCTGCTTGCGGCCGGGGCAGGTGGCACCTCGCGCCGAGCACAGCGACACCGGGACAGCGGGGACAGCGTTTGGGTGCTGCTGCTCCGCGCGTACCTGGCGTGGAGCCGGTGTTGCTGTTGCGAGGGGATGTGCAATGATCGTGGCACTTCACATACAAGTTCCCGGCGGAGCCTGCGGGGCGGCTCCTGTCGCTATTCGCCATGCAGGGAGCGGTGCCCTCCCTGTCGTGCTTCGGAGCGTGGAAAAGCGGCCCCGCAGCATCCCAGGTCCTCCGCGCGCTTCCCGAGGCGGCTCCGCGCTCGCTGCAATTCCCGGAGGAGCTGCCGGGACGGGCTCGAGCCCTTGTGTCCTCCCGGGCTCCGGGGTGAAGCAGGCTGTGCGGGAAAACGCAGGGCGCTGCTCGCTCCCGAGCGCCGGCAGCCCGCGGTGACAAAGGAGAAGCCGGCGCATCCCTGTTCCCTTTGTTCCCCGCCCGGCTCCTGCCGCAGCCCTTCCACCAGGGATCACCCAAGGGGACAGGGAGCCCTGCTTGGCTGTCAGCATCTCGGGAAGCCCTGGCAAGGGGCAGGGGTGGATTCGTGGGGACAGGGGGGATGCACGGCATGCCTGCTGCATCAGAGTGACTTGCAAATCCGCCGGGAATGAAGCATTTCTCCCTCTAGACCCTGGGGCCGGGCTGGTTGCTGGTTACGGAGCAGGTTGTTTCCCCGTTGCCAGTTCAGCAACGTGATTTCAGGGCACTTGTGGACGTGCCGGGTTCCTCGCTATCTGTGCCAAGGGGGTAGTTTCTTCCTAACTCCCAAATATGTTTACTGTCCTCTGCAGACAGCTTTTCTGCAGCTGACTTCAATATGTGGATAATATTTTCAACCTTTGTGTGCCTGCTATTTTTTTAAATTTTGTTTTTAATAGCTGGACAACAAGTGGATTATGAGGTGCCTGCACCCGTGATATTTCTCTGGGTGGGTTTCCTGCACAAGCGGGCTGCAGGTCCGTGGTGCTTGTGGAGCACCTGGGATGCTGGTGCCTGGATGCTGCACGTGCTTCCCGCCTGTCCGAGATCCAGCGCATGGCCCCAGGGCTTTGCACAAATCCCCAGGAGCAGAGGTGATGTTTCTGCCACTGGCTGAGGGGCAAACCAGGACAGATCTGCTCCATACGATGCTGCAGACTCCGCGTACGCTGTGGTCAGTTCCCTCTTCCTGAGGTTTTCACTGCTCCACATGGGCTGTGGAGGCTGGAATCCGCCCGGATTTCAGCAGCAGGGCTTTTGCTGCAGGGCAGCTTGTGAAACACCCTTTAGTGAGGACACGGTGGAGCGAGGCTGTGCCAGCACGGGCGCTTCCCACGCACGGGAACCCGGCACCATCCCGCTAACCCACAGCCAGGCCCACTCCTCCGCGCTCGCATGGAAAGCCCCTCTCCAAGGAAGTTTGCTCGGACTGTTTGCTTGAAAGGAGGCAAAAAAAAAAAAAGACCCACAAAAAAACCCTCAAAACCTCCCAAATCCCTTATCAGGGCAGACACATCTGCTATTAATGAGCAGTGTTTATAGGTGATAAAAATAACACCAAATGGTACCATCTCGGAGCTGTGGGAACTGGACGGGGCATTGCCGGGGAGCAGAGCGTGGCGTGATGCCCAAGCTTTGCCTGCAGGATTTCCCGGGATTCTCCCTGCTGATTCGCAGGAAGCTGCCAGTACCGGGGCTGGATCCAGGCGGGCAGCGATGACACCTCCCTGCAGGAGGACGGGAAAAGCCTCCAGGTCCTGGATGGGCTGGCGCGGTGTGACACGCGCGCTACTATTCTGGGATTATTCTGGGACTGGCCTCGCGTTTGCCGGGGTTTCCCCTCTGCGGTCCCACAGGCCGGCCGGCAACGCTCCCGTGCTGGAAACGCAGCCTGCAGCGCTGCGTTAGGGAAATCCTGCTGCTCCTTGCTCCTTGAAATGCAGGGGTGGGATCTTGCAGACAAGCGCAGCTCCTCCGGAGCGCTGGTAACGCACGTTCCCAAGCCCTCTCCCCTTCCCCTGCTCCTTGCCCACAGGTCTACATCCCCCATGGAGAGCTGGCCGCCCCGGGCCTCTCTCCTTGGGGTGTTTCTCTGGGTTCTGGGGCTTGTTCAAAGGTGTTTTTCTCCTGGTCCGCTGAGTTGGGGAGCTCTTTACTTCTGCTGGGGAACATGGCAGCCCCAACCTGCAAAGAGGATGCACCATGAATGGATATGCATAGACGTGCATGGATGGCCGTGCTTCCTCTGATCCAGGTGGGATAAAACCAGGGAGAAAAGATGATAAGGAAGAAAAAAGAAAAAAAAAAAAAAACAGAAACTCCATGCTTTATGGCATTTTTTTTATGACTGAGCTCGAGATGAAGTCCAAGGAAGCTGATTAGATGACTCCAGGAAGGCAGGGGAGGCCAAACCCCTCGCTTCCCGCAGCTCCAGGAGCTCCAGGATGCAGCTCCACGGGAAGGTTCCTGCAGGGGAGCAACGTGTCGAGACGGGGCCGCCCTGGTCCCGGTGGTGCCGGTGAAACCCAGCAGGGTTTGGAGCGGGTCCCGTGACTGCAGCCCGTGCCGGAGCCGGGCGAGTGGCAGCCGGAGATAACGCGTGGCCGGGACCCCGCGGCCTCTGCGGGAGCCGCCCCGGGCGTTATTGGTCCGGGGAACCTCCGTGCATCACT